GCAAGAAATAAGGAGATGCACCAAAAACATGATAAAGTGTCCAAATCGGTGCCCCTCCAGTGGCTTAAATGGGATGCAGTGCTGTATTGGGTCTCTATACATGTGTGAAAATGAGTGAAATTATCCTAATATCTCTGATGGATGCCCTTCCAGTGAAGATATGGTGCTCCACTATGAGATGTAGTTTCCTGTATATTCCAGAAAAGTAGGTGAAATAATGTACCCTCTAGGTGTTCCTATTTATAAGAAAATTTGATATCTAGGTTGCCTCTGTAGTCGACAAAACATTAACTGAATGATCTTAATTGGGGATGAAGATTACTTCACAACAGCGTAGCCTTGCACTACTGGGGGGGGGGGGAGGTGCACACATCATGCAATAGGTGCCCTTTTTATTTTTTCACCCTCACCCTTCAAACTTAAATAGCCTGAGTCTGCCACGAAGATGGACAATGTATAGGAGGAGGTCTACAAGGAACTTTACACTTGGTATATGCATAGGGTGCACAAATAAGTTGACATGCCATACTGTACATGGTAAATTTTGCAGTCGGCACCCTGCTGTGATGGACCTGGGGGCAGTTGCCCCTCCGCCCAGCCCGCCTCTCCTACTACTGGGGTTCTCAGTAAATTGTTGTGAATTTTGTGTGATCACTTGTTATGAAAAGGGGCACTTAGTAAAATATGTGGGCGGGGCATCCCCCATTGTAAATTTCGCAGTGAGCCCCCCCGTCGTGATGGGACCAGGAGCAGATTCTTATACCTCTGTGCCATTATGCTGTGCGTAAGAAGTAAAAATAATTACAGTTAATGACATTATTGTTCACTTTCACAAAACGAGCGACATTACAATGCCGCCGTGTGGACCATAATTACACAGCTCTCGGATTTGCTTTCAAGGACACATGAACTCAATAGCCTTAAAAGCATACAGAGAGAAAAGTCAGTGTTGGTTCTAAGATGCGTCAAATGTAATGGCCGCAACTAATACTGAAATGTGGTGTTACTTAAAAAATGTTTGTGCATTTCACACTCTAGTTGTCACAACCTGACGTGTCCATTCCCCGGTATGACCAGCAGAGGTCGCTGCTGGTCCTCCGGATCCCTACTACTTCTCCCCAGTTGTGTCTTGCTCGTTATCCCCAATCCTGTTGTGATAACCGTCCACACCAGTATTGTATCAACCCCTCGTTAGGCCTGTGTGTAAGTGGTTCCCAGTCCTGTGTTCCCCAGTTTGCTCATTAATGTCAGTCCTCTTGTTGCCTGTGCCCTTCCCTTTTCTAGTCCCCGCAGTCTGACCCCTCGTGGTCCTCTTTTGGTCTAATAAAGCCTCTTTTTGTTTTCCTGATGCCTGCCCTAGAGTCCATTCTTTTTCATGTCACAACACCAGTACTGTTTATGTGTACCGACATGCTTAAATGTTATAGAGGAATTGTCTGCTGTTCATGTATGGGTGACATATTGATTTTTCACTGACTGGATGTCATACCTGTCAAGTTTTGGATTTGAAAATAAGGGAAATTTTCCGGCACCCACCGCGAGCCACCCCACCACCCCAACCAAGCTCCAGTATCCCTTACATTTTAAGACAGGTGTACAAGAAATCTAAAATAACCACTTGTCATTTACATTTTATTTTCATTACACAATTTCTTTTAATTTCTCATGTTCACTCGTGTGGCTCTCTGGCATTCACCAATGACTTATTATACAGATTTGTTGCAGACTTTGTATCCTTGAAGTCGTCACAGAAGGTGAAAGTAACGTTGTTTTGGCACACAGCATTGCCATTTTAACCTCCGCATTTGTGACCTGGTTAATGTTGTAAATGACCTGCAGACTACTGCAGGTGGCAGTTCTCGTGAGGCTACTGGCAGTTGAGTTTGGAGAGGCAGAGGAATTTTTTTAAAATGATATTATAATACGGGAGATTTACGGGAAAATACTAATATGGGAGGACGGCGGGAAAGAGGGGTAAAATACGGTAGTTTCCCGGCCAAAACGGGAGACTTGACAGCTATGGAATGTTTGATTAGTTAGTATCCAAGACTGTATTTGGCAGTGAGGTCTGATTTTTGATGTAGGATGTAACACAAACCCCTCAAGATTTCCCCTCCAGTCTTTTTTGTTAAGTATGAACACTGAATGCCACTCTCAGCTCCAAATCTTGCACAGTAACTGAGTTGTAATATAACAAATGCTGATATATATCGGCTACACTCTGAAAAACAGAACTTTAATGTCTAACTATAGACTGATGTTAAAGATCTGTTTTTCACATTTTAGCCAATATCCAGTGGGGCACCATGATCGAAACTGAAGAAGATAAATTCATTGTAGCAACACCCTATGGTTTGCAAATGCACTGTGAATCCTATTGTCCATAGTATTGAATGAGTCCTGAGGTGAAATCTTAGTAGAACTGTTAAACTATTCTAAAATAATCCATTTAAAGCTAAATTTACCACTATGTGTGTAACAATTCCAAACATTTTTAGTATATTCTAGGAGATATATCGCATGTAACACTAGATTGAGCTAAGGGGAAATTAAGCTGACTGTAATTATTATTGATTTTAGCATTGCTGGCATTGTTCATCCTTGCAACCCTGAGCAGGATGAGTGGTTGGGTGATGGGTGATGGATGGTACAGGCAGTGTGTGCTTCATATTGTGAGTTTGAATCCCACTATGTGTATGGTCCAGGTATACCTTACCTTGTGGGGACCAAATGTCCCCACAACATGATGAATACCTGTTTTTTTTACCTTATGAGGACCAGTTTCCTGGTCCCCATATGGGAAAATTCTATTTTATAAAAATCTGTGACTGCAATGAAAAAACTAAAAATGCAAAAACTCTTGTATTTTGCTTGGTTACTTATGGTTAGGGCTGGGTAGGGGTTAAGGTTGTCATAGTTAGCATTAGCATTTTTCCCATAGAAATGAACGAGTGGTCCTCAAAAAGATATGATTACATGACTGTGTGTGTATAGTTTTCATGTTCTCCCGGTGGTCTGTGGGTTTTCTCTGGTTACTACAATATCTCTGACAGTTTGAAGACTATTGCTAAGGTTATTCTAATTGACACTATAGCAGTATAGGCTCACAACATAATGTATGCCTTGCCATGGACTGGAAATCTGTCCAAGGTGTATCCTAGAATTGTGCCTTGTGTTGCCTGCGGTAGGCTCCAGACCCCGCCTCGATCCTGACCAGATTTAGCGGGTGGACCTTCGAACGCAAGGTGGCGGTATGGAACCGAGAAAGCGTGAATCTATACTTACCTTGAATTCCAGCTAGGTTGAAAGTAACAATTGTGGCGATTGGTGAATCACTAACGTATCATTGTTTGAGATCGATATTTTGTGGAATGTACAGAAAACTGTAGACGGAATTGGGGGTTTCAGTTATTTTGAAATATTATTTTTGGGGAGCTTTTTGTCTCAACGGGGACATCGTGGAGGTCCTAATAAAAAGTCGCCTGTTTTTGCTTTGTGTAGGCTACATAGTTCACTGAGGTAGCTGCAGGATAATCAGAGTTGTTCATTTTTGGTACAAATGAAATGAAATAGTTTTAAAACTACCTTTGGTACCAACGATTTGATTTTTATTGGCTAGATAGACATTGATACCAACCCATTATTCGGTTTAGATCGTTCCTCTATTGGCTGCAGGGGCAATCCACATACAATCAGATGGTGACATTTTCGGGTTTCTGGCGAAGGACTTGCACAGCCATCCTTCAAGTGGCGATGCTGAGAAGCTCCTCAGCTCCACCGGGCTCTCAGGACCGCCTATCTGACACCGTCTCATTCGCGCAGCCACAGACCGTGCTGCCAGGCGCATTATGGATTTTAAAAGTCAGCGGACGGATAGTGAAAACCTGGATATAATTTGGGGTTAAAAGTTGAACAAACGGAACCATTTCCCTCGGGGTTACGAATTGGATACTAATTTTACGTTGGTTTTCCGCCGTAAGCAATACACGGAGGATCGCAGGATCGATTAAAAGAGCCCTAATACTTAAGAAGCGACAAGAATATAATCTTTATTCCGCTCTCCTTACCAACCTCATCATGACTTCTTTCACAGGCAATAAAGATAGGTGTTCTGCGACGACAAGGAGCCGGAAACATGCGGTATGTTTCAATAATAATAATAATAATAATAATAATAATAATACAACTAATTATTATTGATTATTAAACATATTTTGAATAAAACTGTTTAGTTAGGCATGTTTTCACAATGTTAAACAATAGCATGCATTTATGCACAATATAACCCATCACATATATTCATGAGAAGTTTTATGTAGCCTACTGCCCATAAAATGGCCCATCAAACTGACAAATAATTACAATACAATTATCTTATATGGAAAGTGCTGTACTCTCGAATTTTCAACAGATTATCGATGCCTCTCCGACCAAATCAGCCTCTTACTCCCCAGAGACATGGTACAGAAAAACTTACGAGGAATCGCGCTCCGGTAATCGCCCTGCCCCGGAAGGCGCGGGATCTATACCCAGCTCGTCTGGAACCCCTTCTCCGGGATCAGGGATCTCCTCCCCAGGATCCTTTTCTGGATCTCCCGGCACCACATCTCCCGGTGTTTGCACAGGTTCGCCTGGATCTCTTGGCGGATCTCCGGGATTTGGCACTGGGTCCCCTGGTTCGGGCAGTGGGAGCTCGCCTGGATCTGACCGAGGAGTATGGTGCGAGAACTGTAATGCCCGGCTGATAGAGCTGAAAAGGCAGGCACTGAAACTGCTTATCCCCGGACCCCTGTCCAGCAAGGTAGGCGCCACTTGGCAAAACGAAGAGCTACTTACGAATAGACTATGTACAGTATCAAAGTCAGAACACAGTCAGCTTAAATCACCACACAGCAAACACCTTTTAGAGTTCAAAATTCATTAAGCCCAAAGAAAATGAGCCTGTCTGTATCACCTGAGCTTGAAATGTGTTTCTTTATTAACACTACAGTCACAGGACAGCAGTATTTCATTTTGTACATTTTATAGGCTACAATTCAGATTCAACATTAATCTTCATTCAAAGTGCCCCGTACAATTCACCATGAAATATACATAGGCTATCCCCATTTTAGTCTATCCGGACGATAAAAGGTTTTGATAAATTATGATTTATCACTAAAGTTAATTGTTTTATTGTCTATATGACTATCACATGGCTGTTTTTCAGACAATATTACATCATTGAACCACTTGTGTTGTTTGTGATTTTAAATGACATGATTTCAGAAAATGATTATAATACGGAATGTTGCCCTGATGCTTGTATATATAAAGGCTTCTAAATCGTTTGGGCTTCAATAAAAATGACTGTGGGCTACATCCGCGATTAATTAAATTCCAAGCGGGCACTCCCAGAGAGTTCTGTCCTAATCAAATTATTGTTAATTTATAAATCACTTCCTTCTGTGGTACATGGGTATCCAGTTGTAGATACACCGACAAGTCTCCTTATGTTGGCAAAAATTAGGTATACCTGTACGGTTAGACAAATGCATTCAAAATTACCAAACTAAATTATGTTTAGGTAAGCCTATTCATCGTTGATATTGTGGCTGAACCGTATATGCAACTCATCATGTAAATCTCGTAAAGTTTTGCATTCTTTGAATAATAGCTTTTATTTGGCAATGAATGTGTTGTCAGTTTTATCTATCTATCTATCTATCTATCTATCTATCTATCTATCTATCTATCCATCCATCCATCCATCCATCCATCCATCCATCCATCCATCTATCTATCTATCTATCTATCTATCTATCTATCTATCTATCTATCTATCTATCCTTTTAGTTCATAATGTTAGAATCTCACTTAGATAACACTGTGCTTGGATGAGAAGGGGGTAATCTATTTCATCCTCCAGTAGATACAAGCCTTATGTAGTTTTAGGTTACAGATTCACAGATGGAAAATGACAGAAAGAACGGAATAATTTCCGAAGTTTTCTGGTGTGTTATACTGATAGGGGGCGCTGCTGCGCTGCAATTCTGTTCTTCCCCAGCTTCAACATTGACTAAGTCTATATCTCATTAAGAGATTGTAATATGTAGAGGTGTTTAGCTCATTAACTGTTAATATTGCTACATTAACCTTGGTGCCACAACGGAGTAGTAACCAGTTTTTCAGAAATGACTCCAAAATTTCAGAAATTCATGCTGACCTGCAGTTGTCCCTTTGTATAGCCCAGACATGTTATTGTGGTTCTGGAAAACATGTCATGGTCACCAAAGTTCTTTGCTTTTAGGCATTTCAAGGCATTTCATTTTGCAATTTCGGTGATTCCTGTGAAATTCAAAAATGTCATTTGTTGTTTTTGCCAAGCCTAATAATTTAATGTGTAGTCAGGGAGCTAAAGAAAAGAGTTATTGTAGCAAACAGAATAAGTGCAAAGTGTTTTAGCAGAGAAAGGAAACATAGAAAAGCATAGAAAAATCTTTAATTTGCTCATTTCCCAACGCAATACACATTTAATTCTGCAGTTAGCAATATGCTTTCCCATTATATCCAGTTACTAAAAATGAGATAGATTTGTTTATTATTAGCACTAACATGATTATTTTTCATAATAAATAAATGAGGAAGGGGGATTTCTAGATCATTCCATACACCAGGTGAACGTTTTCCATAGTTGCTAGCAACCATACCAACTTACACAGTTGGAACCATGCAACTGAACTATTCCAACTATGCTAGTTACTTAGAGGAGTTTTTGGGAAAGGTACCCCCATAGAGTTAGATAAGAAATATGCTCAGGGTTAAAATAGGGATTATTCACTTGAGATTTGAACATCTGACCTTTTGGTCTGTGACTCAGTCCAGTCGCCTACGGGCCTTCTGCCGCAGATGAACATGGTGACGTGAATATTTGCCCAACACTGATGAAAACATCATGATCCAAAGGCAGATAATCTTTTCTATATGGATTCTATATAAATGTGCACATTTTAAAATCTTGAAAGCATTGTAACATATGGAAGGTGTATAGGGAGCTGAACATTAAAATAATAAAATTCATATAAAACATACATTAGACCTTGGGTGTAAATTATGGGGCAATGGGGGGGTTACAACCACACCCCACCTCAATAATCAAAATCAGCTAATACAATCCCCTGTCCTCCCCCCCCCATAAATGGCTGGAGACCTCAACCCCCCAACGCTCAACCCAAAGTGATTATCCTGGCATTAGATTCACTTATACTTGTTTGGGAACATAGAAAATACCTAGATTAAAGATTTCTGGAATTCATTTTTTGATTATAGTATATATCCTCTACACAATGCAGATAGGAGCTTTAAAGCAAGTGATGCAGTATGTATTTGAATATGTGATGTTTTGCAGTTCTTGTGTTGTATGGCAGCGTTATGAGCACTAAAGGAACACAGCTGTGCTACAGAGCAGCATAACTCCTCCAGGGGTCTGCACCAGGTCCTGCTGTGCTAACAGTGCAACAATATTTGCATGACGTCAATGCTAGGGCTGCACCACAGCCTCGAGCACTCATACGCTGCTTTTGATCAAAGCCGGCAGAGATGCGGCACGATACTCTAATGCTCGTGGAGCCTCCTGGATCTCTGGCTGCTCCCTCTCTCTACTGGGTCGCGCCCTTGTCTCTGAAGCACCAGGAAATCCAGTCTTCAGAACTGCCGGTCCGGTAACATCTCTGCTATATCTAATGCTAATATGCTTTCACGCACTTGATTCTTTTATGCTGTACAAATGACGGCATTCAACTTATTACACACTGGAGTAAATTTACATTACACATAAAATAACCTATTTGAAAATAGTTGTAGGTATACTCTGAATTTTTTATTTAAAACTTTAGTCCTAAAACATTCAGGAAACCACTCAGAAGAAAGCACAGAAGACAGGGCTTTAAAACTCATACATCCATCCTGGAAGAAGCTGGTGTTGCAGCTGGTGTGTCTTGCCCGCCTTTGATGGGAAGTCTTGAGCCGGCCGGTTCACGTTACACATGTTACGTGTCCCTACACCTTTTACTGCAGGTCGCCGCGGAGACGGTGATAAAAATCAAAGAGGAAGGACAGAATCGCAAGTGGGAGAGAGGGGTCTCTGAGGGCACTGCGGCTTCCTGTGGGGGGGATTTATAGCTACAGGAAGGATGGAAAAACTGCCACCTGCAACCTCGGCTGCTAATTTCTTTTAGCCCCCACCTCCTTAAAGGAACACCACTGACCTGGATTCAGTGAGCATGCTGACCTGCTCAAGCGAAAATCCATTTTGGAGGCATGAAGACATTGAGAATGGACACAGTAGGACGCCGCTATGTGTCTGAACAAAAGTCAAGGTGGGGTAATTGTAGTCTGTGGCACCATGGCTCAGTGGGCAGCACTATTGCCTCTCACCTCTAAGGATCAGGGTTTGAGTCCCATCATCCTTTGCGTCTAGAATTTGCATGTCTTCCCCATGTCATTCAGGTTTGCTCTAGGTCAGGGGTGTGAAACTCCAGTCCTGGGGGGCCGGAGCCCTGTGTAGCTTAGTTCTTTCCCTGTTCCACCACAAGCGATTCAGCACAAGAGCTGTGTGGTAATTAGCACAAGGAGTTGAGGCAGGCGTACTAAATGAGGGGAAACCCAGAAATGTGTCGGGCTCCAACCCACCAGGACTGCAGTTCGACACCCCTACTCTAGGTAGTGTGATTTCCTCCTGCAGTCCAAAGCTGTGCAGGTGCTGGAGTCTCTAAGCTGCCTGTAGTGTATGATTGTATGAGTGATTGACCGATGTTCCATCCAGCGCCCTGTATCATCCTTGACCCCCCCCCCCCCAACCCAGACCAGGATGGGCAGTTAGGACACAGATGGACAGTAATTTTAGCTGAACGACTCTGGGTGACATCTGCCTGTAAAGTCTTATAATGGACATGATGATTCTGAAGCCAAATGTCCTCTGTTTAATCCTTAACCTTTTTCCCTTTCATAAAGTGTATTCTACACACTCAGAGCAAATACACTAACAGAACAAAGCCAGTCAAGGTAAGATTCATGAGCTGGACAACAGATTCTGTCTGAGAGGTCATGCAATATGTGTGATTTTATGTGGTTCAGCCTGTTACTAATTGCTTGAATACTGGCAGTAAAATGGAGGGAAAATGTAACCTGCCAACAGACATGTCACATGACACATGTAGCCTGCATACTGATGTCACATTTATGAGCCCTGTGTGTCTCTGAAGTGGAATGTAATAGGATGCATTGCAGGTAGTGGGTGGCCAATGGGCAGCTGATGGCTCACACACTTGAAAGCTCTTCTGGAGTGGGCCTTACTTACTGTTACTGTGGTACTCTTTCACTGGAAGTGATTGGGAGCCATTGCAGAAAAACGAATTACCATGATGAATATATCAGTTCTTTAGACATTCATTTGGGTTCTTAACACTGAGCATAATTCTATCTCCTTGCATGTAGCTGCCACCAATATTAGTACTACAGACAAACGCAATAATTTTTTCATAAGAAATGAATTCAGGAGGGTGATTTCTAGATCATTTCATACACCATTAAACCTGGCATTCCCTCAGCTCATGTTCCAAACTTGACATCATATGCACATGCATCCGAGTTTGTAGCAACAGACTGTTCTAGATAGTATCTTATCCAAGCTAAGTCTCTAGCCACTGATGCAGAGTCTTTAGATATCACCTTGTGTTACTGCTTTTCCGTTAAGCTACTATTGCTTTCACTGCATGTCAATACAGTAGGGACTGACTCATACCTCAATCTTAGAATGTGCTTGAGACATCAGTCCTTTAAACTGAAACCATCAGTTACTTGATTTTTATTCACATTATAGATTAGACTGAACATGTGTTTGTTTACACTTGAAACTTGTATGGGGGATTTATGTTTTCCAGTTTCTAATTAGCCTTACTATCATACTATTGCAAAAAAGTGAAGAGCATGACCTCATTGCAAAACCAGGTGCGTCTGGTCTTGTCGATCTGAAACGCAGACACGTGTTGTAATGGTCAGAGGACAAACGCTTGGCTCTGTTTCTGTCAGCCGCTTGACAGGCTGAATGGCCCGTATTACCATGGCCTCTCCAGTGGGGGTCTTAGCTCCGTCCTAATTCCTCTGACTTAAGACGGCCCTCAGATGGCCTTGCTGGATTCAAGGAGAGCTGAAGAAACACAGACTCCATTCTTTGTGGTGCTCATCTAACAGCAAGATCCTCTAACAAATGGGTGTCTGGGCTCCTGTGAAGGCAAGATAAATCCAGCCATAGCTGAAGCCACAAACATTTGATGCTCAAATTCTTTGCTAAAAGGAGTCTAATTAAAGTCCGTGAAAGACCCCGATAAGTAACGCTAAAGTAACCATGTAACCAAACCAACACCTCCCTACCCAGCATCCACTGAAGGTCCTGGCTGCAGGAACGTCGGGCCTCATGATGCTCTTTTCTTTGGTTACACTGCAGCTTCCCTGTGTCTCACATAGTGATTAGATCAAGCAGAACCAGAGGACTGTATGTGTGCTTAATGTAACAGTATTTCTGTCCTCATGGCCAGCCAATCATTGGTTTGGTATGAAATGTCTTTAGCTTAAATCATAGGCTTCAATGCTATCATTCACTGATATGTATGTTGACAACGATTATGTAGCTCTTCTCAGCAGCCACTGCTGAGCCTGACATTTGGTATCTCTCACCGGTACCGGAACCAGTGTTTCAGTACTGCATCGATCCCTCCTTTGTCTCTGTAGCTAGTATCCGGGTTGCCAAGCGCTCCTTCTCTGCGGGAAGCTCGGCTCAAAGCCCGTTTCCGCATGCTTAATAGATTTATTCACATGAAAATTCATAATCCCTTTTTAAGATGAACATCATTTTGGATTTGTGTGGTATGAATGTGCTTTCTGAGCGCTTGATTCCTTTTAGTACTGCATTCTTACTTGATATACACACTTCAGAAAAGATATTATACCTGAATGCTTTTCAGTAGCACTGTACTAAATTAATTTCTAATGTGACTGCAGATTCTTTTACATATACCATTTAGGGTGCTTGCACAAATACCCTTGTTTGGTGTTATATCCATCCATCCATCCATCCATCTATTTGTCATGGTTAGGGTCACAGAGGGACCTGGAGACTATCCCAAGCAGTATATGGCACAAGGTTGGGGACACCCTAGAGGAGATGCCAATGGTCTGGGTTCTTTATACAGTATATTGCAAAATGGAACTGCCTTGTCCTAATTAAACTCATCATTTTAAGGGTCTCCGATTCAGGACTGATGCTACAGCTTATTCATTTAGACCTTCCCCACTATCTAAGCTAACAGTCAGCATCTTGGCATTGTAACCAGGGGCCTGTATCACAAAGTTTAGCCAAATAACTTTGAGGCTAAGTACAGGTAACTCTAGCTATGCAATATCACAGTGCTGGTTTACCATTTTTCAGGTCCCCACAAAGATCTGTGAATGCAATCAAAAAACTAAAAAAAACAAAAGTCTGGCATTTTGTTTGTTCGTTGGGATTAGAGTTTTCTCCATAGAAATTAATGAAGAGTCCCCACAAAGATATAATTACAAACCTCTGTGTTTGTGTTTGTGTGTGCGGGCGTGTATGCATGCGTTCTTGTGGTCATGTTTATATTATATTGTGGGGCCCAAAATGTGGTAAAAACCTGTTATACTGACATTGTGGGGACAGTTCTTTTAGGTCTCTACTAGGGGAAACTCAAATTTACAAAAAATCTGTGACTACAATCAAAAACCTAAAAATGTCAATACTGTACTATTGTATTTTAAGGTTAAGGTTGTCATTGCTTGGATTAGGGTTTTTCCCATAAAAAAGAATGGACAATCCCCACAAAAATTGAAACAATGAATACAAACGTGTGTGTGTCTGTGATAAAGGAATATTGAATGGGTTTTGAAGGGTGACAAGTTTATTTAATACTGAATAATAAAAAAGGGATTATGCATATGAATAAAACGACTAAGAAGAATTATGAAAACCACAAAGCCCATTTGGAAATTAAAACAATTTACGACAATCACACTGTATGTAAGCATTTACGTTGTCAGCTATCTGCTGCAGCATGCCTTCTAAGGTTTCATGGCAGCTACAGTATTGCTCTTTGCTGTTACTGTACTTTAGAATTCTTCATAGTCTACCATACTAATTTTCTGTTCCACTGCATTGAAATACGTAGCCCTGTTGCGATCCATGCTTATGTGATTGTCTGATTGCTGCACATGACTCGCTTTTAAGTGTACGTACTCAGGAAGTAATCTTGGTGTCAGTAAGAAACCTGGCTCGACATAGATTGTTGATAGTGTTGAGATACTGTTTATTTCGGATTGTATTTGTTTTTTGTTAAGCTGAAACTTATTTTCTAACCTTGACTTTGTTAAACCAGTATTGTGACGCAGGCCCCTGGTTGAAATTCCAGGCCAGCTATAATACAGCTGCACAAAAAATAGTGTTTGTGTCACCTAGATAATCATCCTCACGCATAACAGATGTAGAATTTTTAACATTTGTTAAGTTATAAAGAGTGTTTAGCCCAGTAGACAGTATTCTGTGTGGGAGTTCCACTCACTCACATCATTTAATCTTGGTTTACCCATACAAACAGTGTTTGTTTTGAAAGTGATAGCCAGTGTACAAACAGCAAGTGGCAAGGATTGCAAAGTTAAGCTAACCAGATGCTGTGAACAGTATGGAGAAACCAGCAGAACTGAATGATCGGTGAAATGTTTCTGTTCTGTGCTGAGGCCCACGGGCCTTCATATAACAGCCAAATGTAGGGATGGACAATCAACATGTAGACAGGTGCATGGGAATAAGTTATGATTTACAGACATGAAAATAAACATTGGAAATTCTTTAGGTGAGATTTGTGCTCTTGGACAAGGATTAAACATCTGCTGGATGTCATTTAGTTTCACATTAAGTATGCCAGGGGAGGCTAACAAGGGCCTTCTGGTGAGTTTCAGCATTATTCTGCAAGTGAAAGGCAGAATTCCCAGCAGTCCTTAATCGTGTGAAAGCCATGATATCGGTGTACCTGCAGAGACAGAAGCAGCATTGAGAAACAGTCAACATGGCGGAGCTTCAAACATATTTGCTCTGCTCAGTTATTTTTTTCTGCTTCTGCTGAACATTCTTTCTCTCTGATGCTTCCTGCACTTCCAGAACATTCTACAAGTTTTAGGTCATCACCACATTTCGCTTCTATTTCTTCCTGGCCATTTTTCTCTACAGCTAGAGTAGGCTGCACATGAGAACAATTGCACATCCTTGCTAGCCTAAGGGTAAATTAAATGAGAAAAACCATTTTAGTGTTGCTTTCCAGAGACAAAGAGCAGCAACACATTTTAAAAATTACACTTGCACAGGCTTAGTTATGCTTTTGATAGCTTCTTTGATGGCAGTATCTTCTGTGTTTGTATCCCTTGCATGTGTGACAGATTGTGTCCATTCCATAGTCATCTATGCTCATTTTTATTGACTTGTATCATTGCAAGTCATTACCATAGCATTTACCAGCTAACACTACATGACGAGACATGTGAAACATGGCATCACGTAGCACTGCGGTCCAAATGGCAGCATCCTGAATAGGATTTGAGGAATACCCCCCTGGATGCAGGACTGTGTGATCGATGATGGGAAAGACATGTTGGTTGTTACCCTGCTGAATGAGACAGAGAACATAACACCGTCAGAGAAATTTTGAAACATGACCACTGCCATTCACAACATTTGCACCCTGTTAATTTTTTCGATTATATATGGTCACATTACTTTTACAGTATAAAAAGCATGCTCACATTTAATATAAAAGGTGTCACTATGTTTATTTCTATGTCTGCTAAATCATTTGGACAGAGTTGTGGTCCTTGACATGCTCTTCTGTTCACATATGAATAGACTTGGCCTTGTCATGCACTTGTGTGAATTTTAACTTGGTCTTGACTCAAACTCAAATACATGCAGTTAACTCTCATCCAAGCAAGCAATTATACGTTTTGCATACATAAACCGTAAGCAGTTTCTGTACAAGACATCCAATAAAAACGTGCACACTGTGGAATGCAAATACTGCAAACCATTGATCATTGAGGCGGCTGGCACCACTTCTAGTTTCAACTGACATCTGGAAAGAAAACAAAGTCAAGTACGTAAGGCTGGCAAACTCGGTTTGTCGAGAGGCAATGACCAGCCAAGTGTCCAGCCAAAATGTGTGTTACATAGTAATCTAGAGATAGCTATTTAGCTAGATAGCCAATCTTGTAATTATTGTTGTATTTTATTAATCCCTGTTTGAAATTCTCTCACATAAACCTCCTTGGGCTCCAGAGATACACAGGTGACAGTGAAGTTTAATACCAGATCAGTACCTATGTGTAAAGGTCCTACTCCTTTAGTCCTAATGGTCTGGCGGGAGTGGGCATCAAAATAGTAATCTTTTAGACCCCTACTGAGCACATTTAAGCCATAAAATGCTCACAGAACTTAAAAGCAAAAGCAATATGTTATTGTTGTAGTGTGGAGACTCCCAGTTATCCCAGGTATTAAACAGTGTGTTTCATAGTAGATCTGCTACTGAACATTTTGTGTACACAAATTACAGTGTTTAATAAGATTTTTGTTAAATAAAGCATTTACAATAAACTTTATATTGTTTTATGCATAGTGTTTGGTTCCAGAACCAAATTTAAGTGCTCAGCAGGATAGAGCCATGTTACAATGACGTTAATAATTACTACAGGATGCAGTGAAGACCTGTTTATTACCTTTGTGTTTAACAAATCATTTATTTCTTAGTCGAAAGTAATTATTTCTTAGTTGGTGGTCATCTTAAATTAATTTAAATGTAAAAAACCTAAAATAGTTGTCTTCAGTTTATAGTTTTTGAATTCAGATTCAAGGTCTAGAATGGAAATTGTGCTACCCAGACTCTGGTACCCAGCTCTGGTAAAGAACTGGGCTTTGACTCAGACTCCAGTTGTCAAAGATATGCTTTTGACTCTGACTCGGCTAAGGTGGCCTAAACATTGCATTTATATCGGGGGGAAATGCTCTGAAAGTCCAATAACCAGAGCCTTATCCCTGGGTAACTAACAGCACTTATTACCTTGAACTGTTTAAGCAACGGCATATTCTTGGCAATAACATTCAGAGGTTTTCTGGCGTGCCTTCAGAAAGGCTGTTATCTCATTATTAAATACTAAATAATTTGAAATGTTCGCTACACCCTCTGAGGGAGTATATTTTTAAGAGTACTGTTACGTTTACCCGATCAAGATAAATGATGGAAGATTGATGTTATTTTTATGAAGGATTATGATTTTCTACTGTAAGTTGATACTTTGACATCTCAGTTTTCTACATTAGAGATTTTAGACTGCGTGTCAGAACATGTCATAACCATCCACCATTTAACACTCCCCCAGCAGGTAAAAAGCAGCATTAACACCAATTCCAAAGACACAACATTTCATGCCATGACTCAGCAGCAACTGTGAGCAGCTAGATTTCAGGTGGGCCCACATGCTGACTGGCAAAGTGTCATGATTTATTTGCATTACCAGGTGTGTATAGTATCAGTTAAAGGAATGATTGACAGACGAACAAACACATTCACTGACCAATACACTGGCATCAAAAATCAAGTCAAAAAAATCCTTCACATCACCCAAAACAACAACAACAAGCTATTTGTTGGAAAGCACTTGTCCCATACCTGTAGGTGTTTTGTAAAAAATTGTGTTTGCTTTCTGTAGCAAGTTGACAAGTCCACCCGAATCCACGTGCTATAGTGTACTACCACTAATGAGGCATAGATTTTGGCTAGTAGGATTAATACGAAAGTTGAATTTAAAGCTTTCATAAAGTTCAGAAAGATTGAATGGAAGAAATGAAAACCCCTACAAGTGCAAGTTGCTATACATATAGGCGGGGGGGGGGGGGGGTCTTCCTCAGATCCAGCTCCTGATTCACCCATGAGACCCTATAAAACTCCATAGAAGGCAATTAGTTGAACCATGGCCTCTTTTCATTAACCAGGTGAGCCAAAGGTATGCTGCTGGCAATGACAAGAACACAACCAAACCTAATCCTGTGCCATTGTTGTACTTCATCCTTCACCCTTAGCTCCAAGCTAACCTGAGCCACAAGCAAACACGAGCTAGAAGGGTGCATGAGAAGCCTCTAACTGCCTGCTAGCTTGTCTGAGGCCTATAGGAAGCACAGCTAGATCAAGTCAGCCTTGGGGCTGGTCTCAGGACCAGAAGAAAAGCAGCTGTTCTTGCTAGCAGTAAAATAATATTGTTTTAGGGCCAAGGGACCAGCAGCATTGACAAGAAGATACCTACTTCAGGCACTCACCAACGTCAGCCCTCAGGCACAGGGGACTTCCACATATAGGACGGGGGTGGGGCGGGGGGGTGCAGGAGTTAGCTTTATTCATTGCTATGCAGTAGCCATGGCAGCCACCCCTGCCATTACAGAAAGCTAGGTTTGTAGGACACCCCCCCGTGAATAAGAGTTAGACATGGCAGAGGGTCTTATGAGGAAGACTTCTTTCAGGCATCCAGCAGGAAACACCATCTGTAATATTTCTACCAAACAAGACAGCTGGATGAGATATCGATTACATTGCTCTGACCAGCAGAGAGTCCTTTAACAGAACTGCTTTTATTACACACCACCTCCTGCAAGGCCTTCTTCCAAGTGCCTTTAACTTCAAGTCCTCCCCAAAATTTGCCCAAGTGACCCTATAAAACCCCTAATAAGGCAATTAGTCCAAGCAGGGACATCTGGGTCCCATTAACTGGGTTACCTGTAGGCATGCAGCTGGTGATCCCTCACCACGGTAATGCTGACCAGCCTAACCCCACCCTGCGCCATTAGCTTACCCCCTGCCAGCTCGCAGAACGTACTTAAAATGTGTTATTTTAACTTTACTGACTGAGAAGAGGGGAAAAAAACACTAATTAAAACTAATTGTGAGAAAGAACAAAGGTGACATAGAGCGCGAGTTTGGATTAGGTTTCTTTAAAAAAAATCTTCTTTTTGTATGTAACAAAGACAGATTCAGATCTTTGGGTTGTTGTACTGTGAAGCAGCGCAATATAAAAGTACTCGTTAGCTGGGTGATTCATTAAGTCTTTCATAATTATTATTTTCAGTGAATGATCCATGGTACTTGAAAAGAAATTTGCTCATACATCCATGCTTCCATGCAGTCATACACACATAACAAATTGGCTCAGTCTCATCAATAATCTCTAATGCAGTTTTACACTTGGTGGAATTTAGGTTTAGGTGGGTGTGCTTTCTGTATAAGTTTGAAGAATTAATAACATGAATTTGCCCCCTGTTTAACCTGTTTAACATTTTGAAATCTTAGTCACCTAGTTCTCTTTTGGAGGTCATTCTTAATATTGTAATAATTTATGAGTGGAGCTGTACCTGTACCGGATTCAGAATTTTGTCAGTTGAATCGGATTTGGCTGTTGAATATGAATATTTGGGGTCCTCAAATAGTATTAGTCAAACACACACCTTCATTTAAATAAAAGGTAATGCTTTACATTAACTGCACCTTCATAATGCTTTTGTATTGCATTCATAAAACGTTCAGTGCACCTTTATAATGCATTCATGATGCATTCATAGAACATTCATAAGCAGCATGCAAGTACACCTTAACATCCAAACATCCCTTAACGATCTTTGCATGCTTGGCATTGAGAAACACCCCAGGTCTCTGAGCCAGTCATGTAACTGAAAACTGTGTATAACATCAGCTGGTTGCACACAATGTTTCTGTAAGTAATTAAAACTTAGTTGGAACGCTGCTTTGTCACTGACCTGAGCTGCTCACACCTGTGATATTTTCTGGTAAGCTGATCCGAACTAGCCTGACCAGTGGGTCGACCCTCTCATCACTACTGCCCAGATCATTGGTTAATGTGGATTTTTTTTAGCAAATGATCTGCTAGAACAAAATATTTTTATGATTCCGCTTATTTATAATTCCTCATTGAAATTTCATCCCTCTTGTAAACTTTTGTCTGTTTTATCTTGTAATGCACACTTCTGGACCAAAACTAAAACACACTCTTGGACTTTAAGAATCACAGTTGACTTACAGGTCTCCGACTGAATATTTGAAACATTAACTTTCAGGCGGCAGCCCTAGTGGAGAACCATATGTAGCTTAACATTCATTCATCCAATTTCCTTATTAGTTCATCCTGTGCAGGGTACGGGCGAGTCTGGAGCCTATAGCAGGAAGCATGGGGTTTGACACAAGCTGTCTGGGTTGCCAGTCCCTCACATGGCATCCACATACACCAAATGCTATTTATAAATACCAGGGCCTCATTTATCAAACTTTGCCTTAATTTCAGTCCATCCATCCATCCATTTTCTGTACCTACTTGTCCTGCATAGGCATGAAAAGAAAACAAAATGCATACACAGACATAAGAATAGGATTTATCAAACCTTGTGTACGCACATTTCCCCTTGTAAATAAAAGCACGTGCACAACTTCGAAATCCTGTGCAGTGGACGCCCCCAGAAAATCATAAATGGTCAATACAAATGAACTGCATGCTCATAAAATATGCAAATCAAGCCTTTCTGGTTGCAAAGTCCGACGGTAGGGACTGTAAACAAAAACCAAGATGAGGAATGTTGAACAGTGTAAGGTAGAGGCATGACAAAATGTTCTATTATATAACATTATATGTTATATAATGTTATATTTGGGGGCCTAAGCACATTTATCACGAACAAGAAAATGTATTGATGTACATTTTCTAACAATATATTTATCATAGATATGTATATTGTCTGCTGTTTCTAGCAAGTTGTATAGAAGGGCTGTAGTATGGTGGGTGTTTAGTGTCAATAAAGTAGAAATTCTTGAAACACGTTAATCAAATGAAATGAACAAACCATTTACAAACACACAGCGAAGTAACAGACACGTTGCAAATTCAGAAAACACATGTAAAACAAAAAACCAACACAATGAAGGTGAGCCGCAAAACAATGGTTTCCGGGGGGACAATGAAATACAATGGACCATTAGGGCTGGCTGGCGTATTTTAAAAAGAAGATAAAGGATAACACAGAACCATTTATATTGATATACTGAAATTAGGGCTCTGATAAAGATCTTGGATATAGACCAATAATATTCCTTCTTGGTTGTAAGCAATGCAAGACCTCCAGGTGTGATGTTGTACAGAATTCACAGTTAAAATCAAACCATTCAGTTAGCAGCTCAGGAAATTTCATGGAGGGGTAAGCAAGGAATCATTGTTATATCCCATGAGGTGTTGATTTAAAACTGAATATTTAGCACACTTCATATAATTTTGTGTATTGCTAATCTACCTAAAATACCGATATGTTGTTTTTGGTCCATGTCACTTAGCCCTATGGACCATAGAGAGGAAATGAGGGACATGCGGTTTGCCAAGTTACGAAGTAAGTGAGATGTGTTGTCATTGTTAGCTGACTATGAATATGTTTGCATTTCATAACTTTCAGAACTTTCCGTGTGTTTCTAATGATCTGATTACAGAGCTAGTCATGTATTCAGGTTATTATGTAACTGGGATGATTACAAATTCTGAGTCCTGTTTATGATACATATACTCAATGTCCAATCAGTGGCCCCTAAAAAAGGTGGTCAGATCGGAAGATAGAGGGAAAGAAACGACTTGCTGCACCCAGGGCCAGTGTGACTACAACTACTGGGTACAAACCACATTGGTGCCCTCAAATTTTGACATGTATGTGGCATCTATAATAGGGGATGCGCTATTATGTGCGAGTTGTGCAAGAACATTCGGGAGATACTGATGTGAGACTCAGAATGAACAAATGATAATGTCAATGTCAGCATCACAGATGACTTGCACATCAGTAGAATTAAATGGCGATTGACAAAAGTAGCTTAATTTGCACTCATTTTATTGTCTGTACTTGCTGCCGTATGCTTTACTGTTGTGCATTTGATAAGTAAACTTTGATTTGAGGTGCCCTTATTGCAATGTGAGTGCAGCCGATTGCTTGATTACATTACAGGAAAACTGGACGTCACTGCAAATGTTTTCTTATCTTCTCCTGTTTGCACACAGCGTAGGGAAACATACAGTTAATGTGAAACAAAATGCAAAGACAGTACATGTGCATCAATCAGCTGTAACGTTAAAACCACTGACAGGTGGAAGTGATTAACATTGATTATCTCATTACAATGGTATCTGTCAAGTTGTCAAATGTACCATTATACATTAGGCAAGTGAACAGTCAGTTCTTGAAGGTGAACCTGCTACCTACATGGGATTCCCCAAATTCGAATGAATAATTTATTAGATTCTTCCAGATACCGAATCCAAAGTTCATGATTCTGCCAAATCCAGTTACTGTGTGTAATGTATTATGAATTATGATCATAGACAGTGTTCATTGTGGTTATTACTTTTATTAGCCTATAGGCCTAATAAGACAAAAGCCAACATAGCTTATAACTTGTTCATTCAAACTCCATATTTTAGCTAAGCAATTGACAGTTACGTAGCCTTCAAAATGGGCAAATACGCTGCCCGGCCGAAAAAAAAAAGCCGCCATTTGAATTTATATCAGCAAATACTTAAGAGCCAATGACTGGATCATTATTACAGCTCAGCAACATTATGCAGCAATAATGTGAATTCAGCTGAGTACCTGAATCTACTGAATGGCCAGGTTACACCTCCATCCATCATCAATAGATTTTTTTCTTCCCTGTTGGCATGGGCATATTCCAGGACAAGAATGCCAAGATTCATTGGGTTCGAATTGTCAAAGAGTGGTTCAGGGAGCATGAGGAATCATTTTCACGCATGACTTGGTCACCGCAGAGTTGTGACCTCATTGAAGGTCTTTGGGATGTGCTGAAGGAGGCTTTACGGAGTGGTTCAACTCACTTGTCAATACAGGATCTCGGTGAGAAATTAATGCAAATATGGATTAAAATAAAGGGTGAGATGTTGCTCAAGCCTGTGGAACCAATGCCATGACAAATGTGCGCCATAATCAAAGCTAAAGGCGGTCCAATGAAAAATTCAAATGGCGACTTTTTTTTTGGCCGGGCAGTGTATTAACAGAACATATTGGTACAAAAAAGCAAAAATGTAACAAAACAATACAGGCACATCCCTTCTGATCATTAGCAAGAACACCATTATGCAGTGGGTTGGTTTACGGCTGAGTGTGAAGCGGCCGGGATACAGATCAGCACCTCCAAGTTTGGGGTCATGGTTCTTGACTGGAAAAGGGTGGATTGCCCTCTCCTGGTGGTGGATGAGTTAATGCATCAAGCGGAGGAGTTTTAAGTATCTTGTGGTCTTGTTTATTTGTGAGGATAGAAGGGAGCAGGAGATCGACAGGTGGATCGGTTCAGCGCTGGGAGTAATGTGGATGCTGTAGACCAGACGGTCTATGTTCCTACCCTCACCTATGGTCACAAGCTTTGGGTGACCAAAAGAGTAAGATTGCTGATGCAAGTAGCACAAATGAGTTTTCGCATAGTGTCTGGGCTCAGCCTTAGAGATTGGGGCCGGAGCTCAGACATTCAGGAGGCCAGTTGAGGTGGTACAGGCATCTGTCATGTCCAACCAGGAGGAGACTCCAGGGCAGACCCAGGACACGCTGGAGAGATGATATCTTTCAGCCG